ACATGCAGGTGAAAGGCTGGAATATTATAATGAGCTAGAGCTAATGACGTCAGAAACTACCCACTCCTGAAACCTCCTGATTTATCTCCTGGATTCAGACTGAGGCGGCCCACAAAAACACGACTGAGTCATTTTTTTTCACACTTTGTCTGCTGATAGGCCCTCCACAGTCCCAAATGTACACAATCACATGATTAAAAACTTGTTTTTGCATAATATGTCCCCTTTAAACGACACAAAAACCAACCGACCGTTCGCTGCCTTTGCAGGATGGCGGTCAACTTCGTGGTGAGCCGGTCTAAGGACATCGCCTTCCACATGAACCCGCGGCTGAGGGAGGGCGCCGTGGTGCGGAACAGCCGGGTGGGGGGGAGGTGGGGGCAGGAGGACAGAGAGCTGGGCTCCAGCCCCTTCATGGAGGGCCAGTACTTTGACGTAAGTGGTAACTCCCCCCCCCCCGCTGCCTCTCTGAGTCTGACCGATAGCTGACGGGTCTTCTGTCCTCTGTCCGTTTAGTAAAAGCCTTAGACACCCTGTGTGTAAAAAATAGCGATTCCGCAGGTCTTTCATCCCTGCTGCTACCAGACTGTACAACTCTGCACTTTAACAACTGCTGTGCAATTGTGTTATATTTAATGACCTGTGTAATATGTGTACTGTGTGTGAGCCATCAATGATTGTGTATATTTTAGTCACTCAAATCTCTGCGCTGTGTTGCTTCCTTGTATATTTGTTTGTTTTTGCTGTTCCTTATGCACCTTTTCCTCCTTTTGAACTCTCTTTGGTCACTAAACCGATGTGTGACCGGTGAATTTCTCCACTGTGAGATCAATAAAGCTCTCATCTTATCTTATCTTATCTTATCAGATGTCCATCCGCTGTGGGAACCAGAGGTTCAAGGTGTTCGTGAACGGTCAGCACCTGCTGGACTTCTTCCACCGCGTGCCGCTGGCCGAAATCGACCGGCTGGAGGTGGACGGCGACGTCCAGATCTCCTACGTCCACTTCTGACCCGGTGGGCCGTTTCTGAACCCATTCGGGATTTTTTTCCAGAGAGTTCAGCCTCCCAAAAGATGAAATAAATGAAGTTAAACCAGCTGGGTAAAAGCCCAGACAGAGATATGAACGAACTCATTTATTTCTTATGCAAAATACTGTAGGTGCTGTATAAAAATTCACATACACATCACCAGAGTGACAACATGAAGGCAGTGTTTATACAATCTCTCCAAAGGTATAAAAAATCTTTAAAAACAGGGGGAATCACCACCCCACCCGGACACATTTGCACTGAAATGCTGAATACTGGCTCTTCGAAGGCACTTGGTAGAGCTGTGAAATTCTGCAAATGAAGGTAGATTTCAGCGAGATGAAGCGGAGGAAATCGCAGCATTTGTTGGAAGACCTTTGACCAAAATGCAGCAAATACACCGGAAAGTGGAGGGGGGTCATCTCAGCACCACTTTCTGTGGTTCACAACAACTCTTAAGGCTCCCGTCGAGCGTACAGTACCAAATAAACCCCATAAAAACAAGCAGATGAATGCTACTGGCTTATCTTAGCACTGAATATGGATTTGTATTGTCGAGTACCTTTGATGTTTAGTTATACTGAAACACAGCGCGTCTTTGAAACTACTTCCTCTCCCAGAATCCCAGTATCGAGCCGACACTGACTGAATAATGAAACGAGGCCGTATACTGTATTTACACACATATAGGAAATAAGTGCATGCATAAGGGACGCTGGGGAACTTCCCTAAAACAGAGGCTGCGTTTGCATTCGGTGAGCTGGTGACGGATTTCTGTTTGCAGAGTCAAACAGAGACCGAGAGGGGTCAGGGGATGTGGTTCATCCTGTTTTTTGGTCGGTTTTGAGCAGATCCAGGCTTCTTTTCTGCGCTCTCTGTTTTAAGGAAGGGGCCCTCAGCAGAACGTCCAGGAAAGTACGAAACACAAAACGCAAAAAAAACTATGAGAAATATACAAAATTACAAACGGACGAAGGTACGAAACATTAGTGCAAAGTTGTAGGAATACAAAAAAAAAAAACAGCATGAAAAATATAAAAAAAACACAAAAAGGTGTCATAACACTGTGCTTGAGACCGAAGTGAAGGGGGAGGAGCTTATCGCATCGTCGTGTTGGATAAGGCCGCCCAGTCTGTGCCCCCCCTAAGTCCTCCCACCTGTACCGACCCCCGACCCCCGACCCCCCCCCCTCAGCTTCCTGAGTTCGTCCAGAGAGGGTCGGGTCTGAAAGTGGCAGAACCGAAATCCCTGAAACAGATGCCGGAGGGATCTGAGAGTCTGGATGAGGAATGGTGATAAAACCGGGGAAGATGCGTCCTCTTTTTAGCTCTGAAACGATTCAAAGCCACTCAGTTCCACCGAATAATGCAGGATTCAGACATAAACCAGAGGGAGTAACTGTGGGGTTTGGATCCCGCTGAGCTGTGGGTGAAGGGGGAAGGGGGGGGGGGGGGTGGCATTGGGGGGGCGGTGGATCCAGCCTGCCGGAGTCTGAGCTGGTTTCAGCAAGTCTTTTGTCTTTAGCCGGCTAACTCTGACGCAGCAGATCAGAAAAACGAGGATCTGGATCAGAAAAAACTAGGCCTTGGATCAATAAAAAAAAACTGTAGATCAGAAAAAAATTAGGCTCTGGGTCAGAAAAAACAGAGACTCTGTATCAGAAAAAAATGAGACTGGATCAGGAAAACAATGACCTCTGAAACAATAAAAAAAGAGTCTTTGTGTCAGAAAAAAAGAGGCCCTGGATCAGAAAAAATTAGGTTCTGGATCAGAAAAAAACAGAGTCTCTGGATCAATAAAAAAACAGAGACTCTGGATCAGATGAAAAAAGACTCTGGATCAGAAAATCATTAAGTTCTGGATCAGAAAAAAACAGAGAATCTGGATCAGAAAAAAACAGAGACTCTGGATCAGAGAGAAAGAGGCCCTGAATCAGAAAAAACTAGGCCTTGGATCAATAAAAAAAACTCTGGATCAGAAAAAAAATGAGGCCCTGGATCAGAAAAAAACAGGCTCTGGATCAGTCTTTGTAAAGCCCAAAAACGCCCCCCACCACGCAGAAACCAGAGGGGTCTGAGCAGGAGCGGATTCCCAATCCTTCACTTCCTCTGTGTGGGTCTATGTGCAAAATGGGTCTA